TGGGAGGGGCACGATGGGATGGTGACGGCCTTGCCTGATCTGGGTGGGCTGGGGGACTCGGGCTTGTGGCCCAGGTGAGGAGAGGAGACAACACCTGCCCAGAAATGAGAAAAAGCCACAAGCCTGAGTCCCCCAGCCCACCCCAGATCAGGCAAGGCCGTCACCATCCCCACAGCACCCCTGACGCCCAGGGCTCCAGGGGCAGGACATGAGGCCAATGAGAATCTCCCCAACTCCTTCAACCCCTCTGCCTGCCTCTGTAAATGTATTGTTTTGTGTTGGATGCATGTCACGGATTGTGAAGTGTTGTATGGTGGAGTAAAGATAAGGTGTGTGGTAACTAAGGTGCAAATAAAATAGGAGGGTAGTTGTGACACAGGCACCCCACAACTGTCAGGTAGTGGAGGCTCCCATCGTGCCCCTCCCACCCCCCAAGCCCTCTGTGTCTAATATGTAATTAAAATTGAGGGGCGGTCAGTGGGGGAGGAAGAAACGCCCTGCAGCCTGCCCTCCCCCCAGAGTCCTAAGGGTGTATGTTGTGAGACATGACCAAAGGGGGAAAGGCGAAGGAGGTCATAGGGAGGCTAGAATGGTCCTCCTCACTGGGACCAGATTCCTGACTGGCCCCATCATTCATTCAATCCCGTCCCCCACTCCCCTAAGCAGGAGGACGCCAGGTCCCTCCAGCCCAGGGCTTATAGCAAGAGCCCCTCTAGCACCCCAGAGTCAGCGACAACCCCGCCCAGCCCAAGGACGGGTCCAGGGGGGCCCAGCCCCCACAGCGCGCAGACCCATCCCAGACCCAGAGGCTCCAAAGCCCCGAGCCCCAGACCCCCACACACCCCCGAGGCAGGTCACAGAGAGGCAGCCAAGCACCGAGCACCACCACATCCGCATAGCACGCGAGTCAAAATCACCACCCGTGTACCGATACCAACAACCACGAGACACCCCAAGCAGAGTGGCAACCCACCCCGCAGCAGCGGCACGCCGAATACAGGTCAAACACCGCCCCCCGGCAAGCCCGCGCCCTAGGCAGCCCGAGCACCGCACCACCGCCAACACCACGCCATCAACCAACATTAAAAAAAAAACGAGTCCCCCACACCCACCCCCATTAAGTGATAAAGTTGATCAAGGGGAACCGGAGAGATTGGAATTGTGTCAATTTGTTTTTTTTATAGCAGACATTTTCTCCATGCTAATGTGATCTATAAGGTGATTCCGATATTGGGTGATACTTATATTCTTTTTGGCCTTCCAGTTCATGAGGATAGTTTTCTTGGCGATGCATAAGGCAGTGAGAAGCACGTATGATGTGTCAACCTCTATACTAATGTCACTTAGGTCCCCCAGCACGCAGAGTGATGGGGAAACTGGGACAGGGTAACTTAGCCATATCGATAGGTCTTCACATATCTTCTGCCAGAACTTTTGAACAGGTGTACATTGCCACATAGCATGCGTGTAGCTATCAGATATGTTACCTGAGCATTTCTGGCAGATGTTTGACTGCATAAGACCCATTCTGAACATCCTTTGTCCAGTATAGTGTGTTCTATGGAGAGTTTTATACTGTATAAGTTGTAGATTGGGATTTGTAGTCATTCTAAAGGTATTTAAACATATCTGCATCCAAAAGTTTTGGTCTGGACTAATGGATAGATCTGTCTCCCACTTGGGAGAGAGATTGAACTATCTGTTTTTAACAGTAACATGTATACTTTTGATAACAGTTTTGGAGGCGAGAGTTTAAGAAAGTCTGTTATCATTGGAGGTAAATCTAAGTCCATTATTTTATCATTAAATCTAGCCTGAATTATGGATTTAAACTGCTGAAATTCCAGAAATCTATTATGGCTAATTCCATATTATGCCACTGGATCCTGGAATGGAATAAAGTTACTACCTTGCATTACATGCTCTAGATGTCTTATCCCTTTGTCATACCACTGTGGGGAATTTAGTGTTTTCTTATTTTGCAGGATGTCAGGATTATTCCCGATTGGGGTAAATCTGCATGGGATAAGTGAAGACCCAGATATTTTGAGAAGTTGCCACCAAGCTGCCAAGGAAGTGCTTATGTTAATGCTTTTAAAGCAGGTATTACATTTGATGCTGGAACTGATGAATGGCATATCGGAAATTTTTATTTCCTTGCAGAATGTTAGTTCTATGTCCATCCATGAGTGGTCCAGGGGGCTCTGATTGATTGATATTGTAGTCTATTGGACAGGAAGTAATGATAAAAATTTGGCAGTTCTAAACCACCACAGTCTTTTGGTTTTTTCATAGTTTTAAACTGATTCGTGGGGGTTGAGTGCAGTGATTTAAACCAGACAGCAGAGGGTTTGGTGGGTAACATTGAAAACAGGTAATTGATATTAGGTAGGACCATCATTTTTATGGTGGAGACTCTTCCCATGAGTGATATAGGTAATGATGTCCACCGTACAAGGTCATTCTCTATTGATTTAAGTAAAGGCGTGTAGTTTAGCCATGTCAGTTCTGACAGCCTGGAGGAAATATTGACACCCAGATATTAAATATTCCCAGACTTTAGCGGTGTGGTAGATATACTCTGGAAATCACACTTTACAGGTAAAACTATGGATTTACTCCAGTTAATGGAGTAGTCTGAGATGGAAGTGTGATTGTCTGAGAAAACGAAGTTTGTGAGTTTAGGAGGAAAAGTAATCAACTGCATAAAGGCTTATCTTGTGGTGTATACTTTCTTGTTTGAATTCCTTTAATATAATTTTTTTGTCTCATAGCAGCTGCTAGCAGTTCTATAAAAATAGCAAATAGCGAGATTAACCATTTTGAAACGGTGCGTTACTAAAGTCGAGAAAACATTGCATTTTGGTTAGATTTAGGCACAAAAAATTGGGTTTAGGCGACTAAACTACTTGGTTTTGGTTTGGGTTAAAATAACTATGTACGTCAGTTATCATTTAAGTTAACTAACATCACTTATGTCAATTTACATAACTTGCCTAAATAAAAATATTTAATGTTGAATTTTTGTTTCACACGGGACATGAATCCCGTCTCCTGGATCAAAGTCAGGGTTCTGGCCCTCCATCCACCCCAACCACCTCCTTACTCAGTCTTCTCTGTTAAATATCATACACCTACCTTTACCGTCAAAAACAGACGCTACAGGGCTTCCCCCACTGCGTTGAAAGTTAAAGGGTTCTGGTTCTGAGTTCTGGTGGCCTACTGGCCAAACTATCATGTCGTCGTGGGTCAGAAGAAACTGAGAGATGTGTAACACAAGTTGGCCAGATGCCAGTTGCTTTCTGGTACATTTAATGCCTGCAGTAGCATCATTGACTCCAAGCAAAAACAGTGTAGCATGTATGACACTTCTTGAGAAGTCCTGGCTGATTACTGTGTGCCTCCTCCAAATCCAGAAACCCAAGAAGCCACTGTTGAGATTTAACATAATTTAATGTCATCACTCAACCATGAACTTTTGTGAGGAAATAAAAACAGGTGCTCCAACAAAAAGTACAAATGCACAATCTAATACAGTTTTTTAATGTGCACAGTAAAACATACCAGAGACCCACCCCAGCAAACAAACATCTATGTTTAGGCCTCTACATTTTAATGAAGTTGTTAATGTTAGTAGCACTTTCTTTAGAGATTTAAATGAGATCCATGGAGTGTGAAGCAGTCTGGATAAAAAGTGGATGTCAAAGTCGGGTACCCATGACTGAAAGGGACAAACTAATGCAGGTTATATGATACTTAGTAATCTAAACTAAGGTAATCTCCCTGTTGGTTTGTTAACTCCTGTTTCAGACAACATTAATGGATAAGACATAAAATGTAAAATACATAACTCTTGATGGGTATGTGGAAGTGCAGAAATATAGATACTGAATGAAAGACTGGCTGTGTTACAAGTGTCAAGAGTTTTGAGTTTTGTATGAATAGTTGTGAAATTTGCTACATCCTTGCGATAATAGTACCAAAGCAATAAAAAAAAAAACTTTAAATGGACACCCAGCGTGTTAAACAATGATGCAAACAGAATTCCCAGTGCATCGGGAGTGAGAACGGGTTGTAAAAAGACAGCTGATACGTTCAGATCCGGATGACAAGATAGACGACAGCGGAGATTTATTCATTGTCTGGCCATGAAGTCATTTGTCCCTGGCATGCACACTGACTAGGTATCCCAAGGAATGAAGTTCAGTCAGTGTGAACTGAACAAATCTGCTACTTTGCCACCAGAAAGATAAAAGTTATTGTAGTTTTACATGTGGAAGTGATTGAAGTCTGAAACTTTTTTTATAGCAGCCTATTGAATAGTTGAGATATTTCTATACAAATGTATACAATAATAAATACCTCATGGTGGCACTACGTGAACAGTCAGAAAATCACAAAGTCAGTAGCATTCATCCTCTATCCTGAGTGAATAATGGCCATAAAGTTGGTGTTGCTGTTCATTAAAGGTGTACAGAAAAAATATACTGATAAAAATTGTGACCTCCATGGGAACAGATTATTTAGAGTTGTGAACTAACATATAATCCCGGGAATGTCAAAAAGGTGTCAATCCAACTTTGGGTCCTCAGAAACATCAAATACCCCCATTTCCCCAGTTGGCGCTCCTGCCGACAGGCCTCCAGAGCTTGATGAAGTTAGTTAGAAGTTAGTTGTTGAGGAGAGTTTAATGAGATCCACAGAGGGAAGAGAAATCTGATAAAAACAATCCACAGAGCTGAACAGTTTATTTTCTGAATTCTGAAAGTCAGACACACCAAGTGCAGGTATGATCAGGTATGATAATGATCAAGGTGAGACTCTTGTTTCCAATTGTTCATTTGTTAATATTCATTAATGCCAGTTAATGTTAGTAGTCTTTTTGTTTCATTTACATTTGTTTTTTGAGAATCTGAATGGATGAAGAATTAAATGAAACATTTATAACCCTTGATGGGCATGTGGAGGTTCACAAATACAGATTTCTTTATTTTGTCATTATGTTCATAGTATATATTCTTATACTCTGCTGCAATTTAACCATTGTGTGCCTCATCTGGATTCACCGAAACCTCCATGAGCCGATGTACATTTTCATTGCAGCTTTGTTACTGAACTCTCTTCTTTTCAGCACTGCTATCTACCCAAAGCTTTTGATTGACTTTTTATCTGAAAAACAGATCATTTCATATTCAGCCTGTCTGTTACAGAGTTTTCTGTATTACTCTTTAAACGGTTCAGAATTCTTACTGTTGGCAGCCATGGCCTATGACCGGTATGTGTCTATATGTAAACCTCTGCAATATCCAACCATCATGACAAAAACAAGAAGTCAGAATATTCCTCATTTTTGCCTGGCTTCTGCCTGCCTGTCAGATTGCAGTGCCAGTAGCCCTTAGTGCAAATGCTAAACTCTGTAGCTTTACTTTGAAAGGAATCTTTTGCAACAATACAGCCTACAAACTCCACTGTGTGAGTTCAGTTGCACTATCTGTGTATGGTGTGATTGTTTTGTTAAATGATACACTTTTCCCTGTGCTTTTCATACTTTTTACATACACAAGGATATTTATAATAACCTACCAAAGTTGTAGAGAGGTCAGGATAAAAGCTGCACAGACCTGCTTACCCCACCTGTTGGTTCTGATCAACTTTTCTTGTTTGTTTACATATGATGTCATTATCGTTAAACTGGAATCTGATTTTCCTAAAACTGCACGTTTTGTAATGACTTTACAAGTGATTTTGTATCATCCTCTTTTTAATCCAATCATTTATGGACTTAAAATGAAAGAGATTTCTAAACAAATCCAGAGGTTGTTCTGTCAACACAAAGTGAACTAATATATTGACAAAGATAACTAATGTACAATCATTTCTCCTGTCATAATAACCAAGAGGATTATTCTGAAGGGTAGTTAACCGAAAGATTTGTTTTAGAAACACTAATGCACAGTAAAAAAAATCATCAGCTTCATTGTGACTGAAGAGGCTACAGTTTTTCAAAAACATTGAACTCCATCAACACTAAATAAAGAACTTTATTGTTTTTGTGAATTTTTGCTTGTGGCCTTCATCAGGGTGATTGTGCAAACACAACAGAAACAGCTTTATTGTTACTCTTAATAGAACTACACTTATTAGATTAAAATTTGAAAATATTTGAATTGCCTTGTTGTTGATATGTGCTTGCCTTGTCTTGTCATTAAAATGTCTTATTTTACTCACATTTTTATATTTTATTTTATTTTGTCCTTGTTCAAACACAAAGTATTATTTCTTCATTCATTTGGGACAATCCGTTTCTAAGGATCAGTTCCCAGAAGTACCAGTGGTATGGTAATGGTGTATATATGATTATTACTCCTCCTCCTCCTCCTCTTCCTCCTCATGATGATGATGATGATGATGGTCTGTTAAGTGTCCCTGACTGTATGTTTGTGGAAGTGAGAGAAATTAACAAAAAAGGAGAGGTTGTAACAGTGAAGGTTATAATCAGAACAAAATAACAAAAATCCCAGTAACCAATGATGAACAAAAATTTGGTTTCAACATGGATACCTAAAAAAAACATATTTATTAGGGGTGAGCGAGTGTTCAGTTGAAATGACTGTCTGGTACAGGTAATTTGGTGGTGATGGAGCAGTGGATAAGACACTTGTCAATTCCCCTACTTCGACACATCCATCAGTGTGTCTCTGAGGAAGACACTAGTTGCTCCAGAGGTGTGCGACCTCTGAAATTTGTAAGTCGCTTAGAATAAAAGCATCGGCTTAATGAATAAATGTAATTCGAGTCAAATATACCAACATAGGTTTTCTAATAAATATTTGAACCTTTGTTAAAAAATGTTTCTTACAATTGTAGTAAGACATTATATAAATAATTTTCTAATAAATATAGTAACTTGAACTTATCAACCCATATCAATTTCAGGCTTAAATAACTTTGCTTTGTCCCGCCCACATCCGGTTTAAGCAACACCAATCCAAAGTATGGATAAAAACAGATACAGATACAGACTTTGGTGTACTCACGCATCCCCAATATTAATCATCTCTCTAATCTCTGTAATAAAGAAGGACATCTGTGTTTGTGTCTCTGTCTGTTTGTATTTTGATTTTCTCAGGAGCCGCTCATCCAATGAACTTCAAACATAGCGGGTTTGTTGCTGCCGACACAAGGGAGTGCAGTGTCGCGTTTGGTGCAATTTAAACATGCAACACGTATAGAAATAATACTTTTTCAGTCATAGGTACCTGACCATGTTGTTTGGCAAACACAGATATTGGAAAGTGATCTGCTACGGCCTATGTGATGTTTTTATCAGACTGCTTCACCCTCCATGGATCTCATTCAAATCTCCAAAGAAAGACACTTTACTTTGTGTTCTACTCTCCCTTCATGCTCTGGATGCCACTGGGGGGCTTGGTCGCTTATGATCCTGAATGGATTCTTTTACTATTCGTATAAATAATCACTGCCGTGAGCGCTGAAGGGAGAAGCGGCGTGACCCTGGCTGTGAGATCCCGTCCTTACTAGAGCCATCCGCAGGAGTTTGTTCAGAACCTGTCCTGCCGGAACTGACACTTATCTCTGCAGTGCATGAGATTTCAGAGGTGTTCTGTTAACATTAGGACATTAGGACAACTGCACCAACTCCAGCACTCAGAACAAACTCATTTAAAATGGCTCTCTTCAATGTGAGATCACTTTCAAGTAAGATTTTATGTTTTTAACTGAATCCTGGTTGCAGATGAATGACTATAGCTAGCTGAACTGTGTCCGCCTCAATATGATTGTTTGAGTCAACCGAGGGTCAGTGGTCGTGGTGGTGGGCTAGTGAGCGTGTATAGGGAAAATTTAAAATGTCATCAACTATGCTGTGATGAATTTAACTCCTTTGAAGTTCTCACTCTTCAAGTTGGAGGGCTGCAACCTATCATATTTGTTATAATTTATCGCCCCCCAAAACCGCCTGGAGGATTTTTATCAGAAATTTTTATCTACTCTGGTTTTAAATTATGACAGAATTGTTCTTTGTGGCGATTTTAATATTCATGTTGATGACCCCACCAATGTTAATGCAACTGACTTTTTTAATATGGCCACTTCTTTTAACTTCAAACAACATGTCAAAGGGCAAACACATAACCGTGGTCATACACTGGACTTGGTTTTTACCCTGGGTGTCAGCATTTCCTCTGTGGAATTAGTGGACATGACCATATCTGACCACAGATGTATTGTTTTTAGCTGCGATTCGCCTGTTACTCATGCCGCCTCACCAAGCGCAGTTTTGCGCATTCTTTCAGAGCCAAAGCCAACACCTGTCTGATTCCAACACCAACAATCTGGTTGATCACTTCAATCATATCTGCTTGTCGTCACTAAATATTACTGCTCCTCTAAAGGTTAGGCCTACGTCTAAAGCTAGTAAGCAACCCTGGATAAATGACAGCATTCGCAGCCTAAAAGGGAATGCAGGAAAGCAGAGCGCAGATGGAAAAAATCCAATCTCCAAGTCCATTACCTCAGTCTGAAGGATTTATTAATTAACTACAATAAATGGTTAAGGATGCGAGAACACACTATTTTTCTGAACTCATTACTACACATAAACACAATCCCAGGTTTCTGTTTAAGACTGTGGATCAGCTGGTAAACCCAACCCCTCCTTGTGCCTCAGCTGGAAGTAATGATGACTGTGAATTGTTTTTATCTTATTTTACCAATAAGGTGGTGTGGTTTATATTTATCTGTATTTAGTCCGTTTTCATGCTTTTATCTTGTATTGTTTTTGTATTATTGTCTCTTGGGTATTATTGTCTTTACACTTGTTAAAGCACTTTGTAACTTGTTTTTGAAAAGTGCTCTACAAATAAGTATTATTATTATTATTATTGTTGTTATTCTCTCACTGCCCCCACACCGACTGTACGACTACTCCAGCAGCAGCCTGTATAGCATCTCCAGGCCAGAGCAGTCAGAATATATTAACAACTCGCTGGCGGCAGGGATTATCCGCCCTTCATCATCCCCTCTTGGAGCCAGGTTCTTCTTCGTGGGAAAGAAGGACGCGACCCTCTGCCCTTGCATTGATTTCAGAAGTTTGAATGGACATTACTATTAAAAACAAATACCCACTTCTCTGCAGGGATCGCTGCCATGCCTACCACTTAGTCCGGATCCATGAGGGGGATGAATGGAAGATGGCCTTTAACACCCCCTTGGGTACTGTGAGTATTTTTGAGTATATTTAATGTTGTTTAGCCTTACCAATGCTCCTGCAGTGTTTCAGTATTTGGTAAACGATGTACTTAGAAATATGCTGGGCAGATTCGTGTTTGTCTACACCTTGACGATATCCTTATTTTTCCCCCATAGTTCAGCAGAACACATCCAGCATGTTCACCAAGTCCTCCATTGGCTCCTGGAGAACAGTCTATTCATCAAGGCAGAAAAGTGTGAGTTCCACACCTCCACTGTCACCTTTCTCGGTCCCATCATTGCCAGGGGTCAGAATGGCTCCTGAGAAGGTGAGAGTGGTCTTAGACTGGCCCAAGTCAGACAATAGGAAGCAGCTTCAGAGATTCTTAGGAATTGCTAATTATATATATATATATATATATATATATATATATATATATATATATAGCCACATTGCTGCACATTAACTGCAGTTAGCTCCACTACTAGGCTGGTTCACTGGACCCCTGAGGCTAATTTTCTGGGTTATTTCAACCCAGAAAATTGTGTTATTCTTTTCGACTCAACTTCTGGGTTAAATACCTGACTCAAATGTTGGGTTAAAAAAAACAACATTGTAGTTAATATAATCCAACTTCTGGGTCAAAAGAACAACCCCACTATCTGGGTAGAAATAACCCAGAAATGAGTTGGTTCCTTTTTAACCCAGGAGTTGACCACAAACTAGAACAGCCAAAGACTGACTGCATGAAGGAACTTAATACTAACACAGATGAACACTGATTTACAGAACACAGGTGGAACAGATGATGATGATGGTAATTAACTAAACACAGGTGATGCAGATGAACTAAATGACAGAAAACATGGAAACAGATAAGTGGCTGGAAAACAGAACAAAGGAAGTGATTAGGGGTGACTGTGACAATATTACACATTTCAAGCACTTTTACATTTTTATTGCATTAAATTAAACTATATAAAAAAATAGAAAAATAAATAACTCTTCTTTAATTTTAACCCAACACAACTAACCCAGGAGTTTTTAGTGTGTGGAGTCAGAGA